CTGCGTGGAGCTCCTAGCTACTGGCTCTAGCCCCATGCTAGCCCCAGCTATTTGTGGAGATTTGAGAGAAGTGACCCCAGCAGATGGCAGCTGTCTGTTTTCTGTTGCCTCTCGACTCCCCCTCCTCCTCCCCCTCCCTCTTTTCTCCCCTCAACTTCCTGTCTTTCCCTCCAAAAAAATAATTATAAGCCAAGCTACAAGCCCAGATTAGATGAGTATACAACATACAATGTAATGTGGTCCCAAAAAGTGACTAATCAGGTCATCCTGGAGTAGGCAAGACATTGGAAAAGCAGTGACATTTAAGCTGAGTTTCAACACAGAGGGCGGGCAGGGGTGCTGGGAACAGACAGTCTGAACACTGGAAGGAGCTATTTGCTACAGAGCTCTGAGGTTAACTAATCGGGGAAACTGCAAGCAAAGGAGTGTACCAGGAGAGAGCACTTCTGACTATGTTGTGCAGAGCCCCATTTCTGGTGTGAAATATTTGTGTTACTGAAAAGTGGACGTTTTTTGAGTGAGTTTTGAAAATAGATTGAAATGACCTTTTAAGTTTCTCTGGGATTCTGGAGCCTATAATATACCAATATGCATTGCACATGTGGTAGAGAAAGTGAACAATGAAGGGAAGGTATAAAAATAAAATTTACCAGTAGTTTTTCAATGTGAAAGAACCACTGTTTATCTTTTGATGTAGTTCTTTCTGGGATTTTCTTTGTTCTAGATTTTTCCCTGCATTGGTCTCCTGTGCCCTGAATCAGTGCTCCTCTCCCTTACTGTCTTAATTTGTACAACAGGTATAAAATCTTTTCCTGAGTTCCTGTTAGGGGAGGTATAGTGCACTGAATGCTGGCAATATAGAGAGTAAGCAGTTGCATTCTTCCCTTCAGAAAACTATTTAGTCACATCCATTATTGTCTGCCTGCTAAAATACAGTTTATTGTATGCCCTCGAGGTTTACAACAAGATGTCATGGGATATACCTAGAGAGGAAGATAACTATGGAGAAGCAGATTAACATGCTGTCATCTCACATTGTTTATTTTTGTATGTACATAACAGGAGCTGCTAAACTCTGTATAAAAATTGTATATTACTGTTCTTGTATATAGTAACACATTTTTATCAGTAATAATGGTTATACTGTCTACTAATACGCTTTCCTTGATAATATAAATACCTTTATCGATAAATCAATTGATAGGTCTATTTTTAATAGGTCTATTATATCGTTTTAAAAAGTTTTCTGTAATATATTACATTAATGTTCCCTGGTTTACTTAACAAGGAGATTCTGCTGTTTTCAATTTTTTTTTCTTAAATTAAAACAGTGTTATAAGAAGCATTTTCCCTGGGGTTTGCAGTGTTGATAGTGATACGAATGGAATTGTGTTTATTATAACATTTATGACAAGGTAATGGGAAACGTGGAAGAATGAGACTGGTGACAGGAAGTCAGTTTAGGATATTATCACAAGAAGGAAAAATGTGGCCATGCAAAGAAACAGACAAATATGAGAGACATTTTTGATAAATAAAAAATAGGATTTGATGGATATTAGTGGAGGACAAGAGCAAATGGTGAAACAAAAAAAAATCCATGATTTTAATTAATAGATGGGATGTTTTGATAATTAACTATTATCCTAATCAAGAAGTAAGTGGTGATTAGATTTGAGAGAGTTTTGGAATATAAAAATAGGGTACAATCATAGGCTGGAAGAACCTTGGTATAAAGTAAAAATTTATATTATGAATATATGATAGTAAAACATCACATAAGAACTCCTAGTGGAAAATCTATAGTAATAACTAAGAGGGTTTAGTTTGTAATTCTGCAGAATAGAAAATGTAATTAGAGTATTTAGAGAGTAAGAGAAAACTATAATACTTTAAAAAATGATGAGGTCTTTTTGGCCAAGAGAGCTGACAAGTTGTAACTCTGATTTTAAGTTTTAAAGTCTTGTGGAAGAGATGAATTTAAACCAACTTTTAGTCAATTTTTACTATGTAGTAGAGCCTGGGATAATTTATCTAAGAAACTATTTTTAAGTTACTGAAATTAAAACTGAGATTGAGATTTCTATCATTTTTATCAGGCAAAGGAAAAGTTAAAGTTTAAATAAATATATAACAAACAAATTTATAAAGAGAATCATCAAATTTTCAACATGATAAGCTTTAACAGTATGACTATTCAAGAAAATTTTTGGATTAGAATGGCAAAATATAATAAGATATTTAACTATTTGTCTTAGTAAATAAGAAAATACATAATTTCATATGGTCTACTCTTTAACTTTTCACTCTTTGCTCCTTTGTTCAGAATTTTGATAACCTTGGGGCACACAAAGTATAACTTTGTCTTTTCACGATTCAGTACTCAAAAAAGTTACAATTTACTAAGATCATGGGGCTTGTTTTTGGATGAGATATGGATTGAACATTCCAAGAGATAACCCTCAAAGGAAATTATTTCACAGAACTTATCAGATTTTGGATTTATTTGGTTGGCAGTTTTTGATGCATATGGGAAGTAGCCTAAGGTGGATGAAAATACTAATTTGACATATGTAAGTTAGAAGTCAGATAATTTGCAAAATATTTTAATATACTCCTTCACATTTTGTCTCATCTCATATTGCCCTGGGACAGTGACCATAAAATGGGCAGACATTCTGTCTGACCTGTCCATGTGAGCAGATGGATACAGCAAGAAGGGAGTCCAGTGCTTACTCACTTATGGTTGCCAAATTCCATATTCATTGCAACCTGGTTCAGGAGTTAGGACTACATTGCCAACCTGCTATATGTTGGCCTTGGCTTGTATTCTAGAAAACCAACATATTTCTTATCTCTTCGACTCAATATTCTGATTTTTAAATGTTAACTAGCTGGTTATTAATATTATTAATTGAGATAAATTCCTAATTGTGCCTGACTCATAGTAGAGGCATAAGAGTTGGTTAAGGTAGTTACTAAAAGGTAAGTATCTACTAAGAAGAGAGCGTTTAAGGTATCATGTGTTCTAAATTATAATATATAATGCATTATGAAAGCTATTTAAATAAATGAAGAAATTAAATGAAAAGTAGATTGGTTATTTTTGTATGAGCAAGATTATTCTATCACTTTGAACTTGAATTTATTTTTCTCTTTTTGTAATAACAGAGGATACATGTCAACATTAATTGAAAATAATTTTAAAACCTAGTTGTGTTAGTTTTTGTACCTGGGAAATAGAGCATTTAAGTGCTAGAGGGAGAATAAAATATTTCATTTTTCTTTTTTTGTTTTGTTTTTATTTAAATATTTATTTGAGAGTCAGAGTTACACAGAGAGAGGGAGAGGGAGAGGGAGAGGGAGAGAGAGATCTTCCATTCTCTGGTTCACTCCCCAAATGGTCACAACAGCCAGGACTAGGCCAGGCTGAAGGCAGGAGACATGAGTTTCATCTGGGTCTCCCAAGGGGGTACAGAGACCCAAACATTTGGCTTATCTTCCACAGCTTTTCCCAGGCCATTAGCAGGGAGCCGGATAGGAGGTAGAGCAGTCAGGACTCGAACGGCTGCCCATATGGGATGCTGGCATAGCAGGTGGCAACTTTCCCGGCTACACCACAGTGCTGCCCCTCAAATCTTTCCCCTTCCGCATGTATTTCTATATGCAAAGAGAACATATGATGTTAATAAGAAGAAGGATTAAGTTATTCACATATTTCTGGTTATTCTTGTCTCTGACATTTTATTTTATTTGTGCTTTCCTAATAGATACACTGTTCCATAAACCCATTTGAATTCATACATAATTGCATAATATAAAAATACTTCCAATGGAAAGGTGACAGTGTCTGAAACAAAAATAATTGTGTAGTCTCCCCTTCAGTTCATGTTTTTCATTCATACATGTTATAGTATAATAAAAAAGATTCAGTAAAATCAAATTTCACTATAAATATTCCCAGTAAAATCAGAAATTACCTTTACTTGAGAAAAATGTACTTATGTGCATTGAAATCTATTTTTAAAATTTTACTGAAATAGTGATAACATCATGGCAAAACATTGGTTACAAATATCTTAAAATGAAATTCACATGTCAAAAACAACTAGAGTTAGTGAGTAAATCCGCTGCCTGCAGTGCCGGCATCCCGTATGGGTGTCAGTTCGAGTCCCGGCTGCTCCACTTTTGATCCAGTTCTCTGCTATACCCTGGGAAAGCAGTGGAGGATGGCCCAAATACTTTGGCCCCTGCACTCACATGGGATACCTGGAAGAAACTCCTGGCTCCTGGCTTCGGATCGGCACAGCTTCAGCCATTGTGGCCATCTGGGGAGTGAAGCAGTGGATGGAAGGCCTTTCTCTCTGCCTCTCCTTCTCTTTCTGTGTAACTCTTTTAAATGAAATAAATAAATCTTAAAAATTAGAAATCCAAAATAAGAGAAAGCAGTGGATTTTCAAAGAGTGTGTCATTGTAGCCAATATTTCAGTTTCCTTCCCACTAGCCAGAGAGTGGACCCTGAAGTTAGGCAGTTTGGCCACAAGTTCTAAACCAGAGTGACAACTTCTGATTTTATGTCAGAGGTTCCTCTTGTTCATTTCCCACTACTTGCAGTTCCTGTGGATGCTAAGTTTATGAAGTTGATTCCTACCCACAGCAGTCTGGATCCAGCTCGTGAGAAAAACTGGTGTTAAAGCCCCAGGCAACGGCTAATGAGCACATGTGACTGAGGAGGGTGTTTTCATGTTGACCATTCATTTTCCAACTCAGTGCCTTGTATGTTGTGCTAATATTTGAAACCCTAATTTGAGAGTGTTCAGTGAAAACCACTCTATATTATTTTTGTAAGGATGTCTGTTCACAAGGTCTCCTTATGTTTGTCATCTGAATTGTAACATTTCTTCAACCAGCAGATATTGTTTCCTAATGATTTTCTGTGTCTGAATATGCTTCACCAAATTTATACTAACCTAGAAAAATTTTCTTTTTCCCATTTCAAGTTCCACCCAATCTGACTGTTCCACAGGAAAAATCACCTTTGGTCACCAGAGAAGGAGATACAATAGAACTGCAGTGTCAAGTAACTGGGAAACCTAAACCGATCATCCTTTGGTCTAGAGCAGACAAAGAAGTGGCAATGCCTGATGGGTCAATGCAGATGGAGAGTTACGATGGAACGCTGAGGATTGTGAATGTGACTAGGGAAATGTCAGGAATGTACAGATGCCAGACCAGCCAGTACAACGGATTTAATGTGAAACCCCGGGAAGCCCTGGTGCAGCTCATCGTGCAGTGTGAGTACATTCCTTTTATGTATTTCAATTTTGGGGATAACAGGAGAAATGATACCTTTATTCTCTGAGTGAAACGAGGTGATTTTTGGAATTGGATTAGAACGAGATGTTTCTACCTCATTGCTATCCAATTTGAACTAATTTTCCTTAAATCTGCTTATTACTTGAGCTACTAGGAAAGAGTTGTATTAGTGTGTGCGATGATTATGATAGAGTTATGTGGTTGGTTAACGCCAAAGGACTGACAAACCTAATGGTTAAAAACTGTCCATGTGCAGTGTAGCAAAGTGGAGACTAGAAGTAATTGCTAATTGCTAATGCTCTTTTGTTTTCACAGTTCATGTTTCTACTGCAGACAATTGCCTGCCCTTTGTCCAAATTATCCACCTATTTTAAAGCATCCTTTGCTTAAATTGTGGATATGGAATCATTAAAGTGCTATTTGTACATCGGAAGCTATAACTATGGGGTACAAAATTATCTGGTAACAAAGAACTAATTCGGCAGATTTTTTAGGTTCTGGATTTTTGTCTGACTTTCTTAACAGATAATTGTTTAACTGAGTGTTCAATAAGATAAGTTTTCAGCTTTTTAATTGAGATTATGGTGATAGCTTAAAAAAAATAGACACCCCAGGCTTTCCATTTGCTTTCAGGACTAAAGGTTCTAAATCCATAAATGTAAGGGTCCATACAGATTTAGCAACATTATTCTTGTTGCGTCCCTAGAGTAGGTCTTGGTGACTTTGTTGCCAGGTGGTGAGGATATTGCTGAGACAAAGCAAACTGTATACAATCTGACCCATCTCTGTTAGTGCTGCTGGAAATTATAACTGATGTACCATTTATTGAATAATTGCTACTGTAGTCTTCAAGAAAACAGTTGAAGTAGTCGAATCTATGCACTTTAATAAACACTCAGTGATCCTTTTTTAACCCAGAACACTGAAAATAGAATTGATCCCAAAAATGTCACATTTATATTAAATTTAGGGTTGTTGCAGAATGAATTAGAAGGTTTTAAATATGAAAAACAATTTTCATATGGAAATATTGTGATTAGAGTGTCTTAGAAGCCAATACATTTTTAAAGGAGGTGTGTGGAGGAAGAGAGGGGACAAGGTGCTGTTCTTTAACCATTCCCTGCTCCTACTCTGAGGGAACTCAGATTCTAGGAATATTATTTGTCTTATAAATACGCAATCTGATATTTGCAAACAAATGTCAAGTTACTTGACTGATTGTACTGAATGGTTAGTGTTTTCTTGAAGAAAATGGGTCTTAGATTTCAAGTTTCATTTAATTGCATGCTTCTTACTATCCTTTATATTCTCAAGGTATGCTCACGGATGTGAGGTTCATGTGAAAACAGATTTTAGAGAAAAGGAAAAGAAATATGAGGAAGAAGGAGGAAAGAAAGGGAAGGGAAGAAAAGGAGGAGGGGAAGAAAAGCAAAGAATGAAAAACAGTTCCTCAATCTTCTTTTTAAAATTTTATTCAGCATTTTATTGAAATACAGTATACCTACCAAGAAGCACATATAAGTATGTAGATAAATGAGTTTGTGATCCTCTGATCACACTTACAACCAATATCCAAACTGAGAACAGCACATTAGTTGTATCCCAAGAGTCCTCACTGGCCCTCCCCATTTCTTTTTTTTCTTTTAACTTGGCAAAGATTATATTGTCATTTGCATACTATGGTTCAGTGAAGCAATATTTTATAGCTCTATACTGAATGACAGGATATACACACAATTTTTAGACTTGCTGTACATACCAACTATCACAGATAAGAGGAAGCATGTGTTTTGGCCTTTTGTAGTCTGGCTTATTTCACTTAACATAATGGTCTACAGTTGTATCCATTTTGTTGAAAATGTCAAGATTTCACTTGTCTTTATGATTGAGTAACATTCCATTGTGTATGTATACAACATTTTCTTTATCCAGTCATCAGTTTATGGACATCTAGGTTGATTCCATATCATTATGGATTGAGCTGCTATAAATATGGGCATACAGGTATCTCTTTCATATGCTAATTTCATTTCCTTTGAATATGACTCATGAATGGGATTTCTGGTTTATATGGTAGATCTGTTTTTAGTTTTCTGAGGAATATCCGTATGGTTTTCCATAATAGTTGTACAAATTTGAATTTCCACTAACAGTATATTAGGGTATCTGTTTCCTTGCCAGTATTTGTTTTGGATTTTTGGATAACCAATCTAACTGGGGTGAGGTGATACCTCATTGTGGTTTTTATTTGGATTCCCCTGATGGCTAATGATCCTGAGTACTTTTTCATGTGTCTGTTGACCATTTCTATTTGATCCCTTGAAAAAATATTCTCTTGTATGCTTTTCCCACTTATTTTTTAAATTTATTTATTTATTGGAAAGGCAGAGTTACAGAGGCAGAGGTAGAAAAATGCTTCCATCCACTGGTTCACTCCCCAAATGGCCACAATAGCTGGAGCTGGGCCAATCTGTAGCCAAGAGCCAGGAGCTTCTTCCAGGTCTCCCATATGAGTGCAGGAGCCCAAAGACTTGAGCCATCTTCTGCTTTTTCCCTGGGTAAGCAGAGAGCTAGATCTGAAGTAGAGCAGCTGGGACTTAACTCTATACCCATATGGTGGCTTTACCCGCTACACTGCAGTGCCAGCCCCCACTTCTTAGTTGAGTTGTATGTTTTGTTATTTTTGAGTCTTTTGAGCTCCTTCCATATATTGGATATTAATCCTTTATCATATGCATAGTTTACAGATATTTTCTCCCATTCTGTTTGTTACCTCTTCACTTTGTTAATTGTTTGTTGTTGTTGTTGTTCAGAAGCTTCTTAGCTTTATGTAATTCCATTTGTCTACTTTTTTTTTTTTATTGCCTATGCTTTCCAGAAGTCTTTGCCTATGGCAACGTCTTGCAGTATTTCCCCTATATTTTCTTCTGGGAATTGGATAGTTTCAGGTCTTAGATTTAGATTCCTGATGTACTATGAGTTGATTTTTGTATAGGATATAAGGTAGGGATCATCTTCCTTTTTTTTCCTTTGTTGGTCCTACAATTGATCAATTTTGATTATCTTTTCAAAAAACCATCTCTTTATTTCAGTGATCTTTTGCAGTAGTATTGTATTAGAGCTTCTGTCTCCCCTTATATCCATTCACATTTGTTTTATAAAACTGGGAGCCCCAACATTGGGTGTATATATGTTTACTATGTTCACATCTTCCTGTTGAATTAATCTCTTAGTCATTACATAATGACCTTCTTTGTGCCTTTTAACAGTTTTTGTTTTACGTCTATGCCATACTACCCTGAATGCTCCCAATCTCTGAACTTAGACTTTATTTTTTAAATCTATTTAGTCTGGTATGAATTTAACAACTGCTGGCTTCTGACTTTTGATTTCCATTTGCATGGAGTATCTGTGTTTTTTTTCCTTTTCAGTCTATGTGTATCTTTATTGTGGAAGTGTGTTTCTTGTAGACAGCATACAGATAGGTCTTTTTTTTAAAAATCCATTCAGCAAGCCTATATTTTTTAGTTGAACAATTAGGACATTTGTAATCAAGGTTGTTATTTATAATAAAGGCTTGATCCTGCCATTTATCCATTAGTAATCCTATTGTTTATTTTGAATCTTTCTTGTTCTTTTACTATGAGGCTTTCTGTCTTCATGTTATTTCATGATACCCATTGTTTTCTTTTTTTCTGTGTGTAGTACATCTTTATGTACCATTGATAAGACCAGCTGGGTGGTTACCACAATAGACAGCAGTGGGTCTGTCATTCCTCCTTGCTGTCCCACGGAATCTCTGTTTGGTTCTTCCATTCTCCACTGGAAATTTCTCCCAGTAAGTCCACTGGAAACATGGCCTGTTATTTTTTCTTTCTGATATCTTTCAGTGGCTGAAGTCAGTGCAGTTTTTCATTGTGCAGCCATCTTGGGTTGATCCCACTCTTCAGTTTTCTAAGCAGAGAGGAGACACCATGCAGTGACCACAGAGGAATCTGATGGGACTTGGAACACTGCACTCTTGTGTACACAGGACTCTGGAGGCTCCTGGAGCTAACACCAAACTTCAGTGACCCTGGAGCTATTAGACCAATTGGTTTTCAGTGTGCTCGCTCCTTGCTGGGAAAACTCTGATGCACATAAAAGCTGTAGGACTGGTAACTTCAAGAATAGCAGTCTCCTCACAATTTTTGTTTTGTAGATTTAAAGCTTTTTTAAAGTAATATGTTTTTAAAAAATGAATAAGGATCTCTATTCTTGATATAATATACTTAAATCCCAAGTTCTGTTTAGCTAAACTTTCATTATCTCCCATTTCTTAATAGGTCCCTTAGAAAATGCTAAGTTCAAAAGCAGATTTTAAAATGTAATCCTATGATCATGGATAATAATAAATAAGAGTACAGTTGTCTGTAGTATGACAAGAATGAAATTGGCAAAAAGATACCAGCAGACACAGGAAAAATCTAGCTCTTTTGATATATGAAGAAAGGTGTAATTTATCTGCCTTTGAAGCCAACTTGACAGAGAAAGAGGTGTAGCCTAATGAGCTTCCCTGGCCCATCCAGGGAGGTGATTGGATCTAGCCAGCACTCTTCATAGTCCAGGTGAGAATACAATCATGTCTTTGAACGAACTTCCTCTCACATTTTTCCAAGTTCTCTGCAGAATTGGATATATATTATTGAGTATTTTCCAGGTAAAAATAACTTGTAACAACTGCAGAATATTCCTAAGTAAATTAGAAGTTCATTTTCCAGGCATATGGCTTGAAACTATAACAGGTTCAGCCTACATGCTTGCCTAAGGCTTATTCCTATAAAACAAATGTCACAGGAACCTGTCATTGTTAAACCAATAAACTAACTTTCATTGTGAGTTTTTAGAAGTATTAAAATAATTACATATATTTTGATTTACTTGGATAGCAATGCTTCATGTTATTTATTGCATGCATGTACACACACACCTACGTAGG